TTCATTTTCACTACCAAGACTCTCCCATGTTCCCTTGGGGACAATCGTCTTGAGGTTCCTTGCCAGGTCTAACAGTTCATCGGATATCCAATCCGCGGAGGATACACTTGCACGCTTTTCATGTCCTCCCACTGTCAAACCGAGAAATACACTCGAAGTGCCGCCTTCACTCACCTGCGGTCTGTCCCCCGTCGGGGGCCCCCACAGGCTCGCGGAGGCGGGGGGGGGATCAGAACTATTCGTGCTGTTGGGCATAATAGTTTATTTCCCAGTGGTTCCCCTCTTTCTTGGGTCAATGTAACAGACCAGCCAAAAAACAATTGTAATTCTTTGAAATATGCCCTTCCGTTTACCTGATTGGGCGATTGTGTGTAATGCACCGCTTAGATGGATTGCTTCTTATGCACCCCTCCCCCTGTATGGAAGCATGTAAGTGTTTCATTAAAAAAAAAAAAATACATAAAAAAGATGAAAAAGAAGCGCATAGATGTCAAATCACGATATGATTGATATTGTATGCGTCTATGCACCCGCATATACACCGGATTGAATAGAAGGATTCATGACAAACTCCCTGAGAGAGGCATCAAAATTTATGGGAAAAATAAAAAAAGAATTATACTTTTATGATGTTATCCTCACCTTGTTTTCCCATGGCAATAATAAAAAAAAACAAAAAACTCTGCGTTGATGGGAAATGCAAGGAGAACAAACCAACATAAAACACACACATTCAAACACAAAAGGAGAGGGTGCAGTAAGGTCACACCTCGTCTTCTCTCTCTTTTCTCTTCCTTTTTTTTTTTTTTTGCTTTTTTTAAGTTTCGCAAAGTGAGAGAAAAAAAAAAAAAAAAAAAAGAAAAAAAAAGGAAGATGAGGCGGCCAAAAAGGAAGAAAACTTCAAGGGAAGAGAGGACGCAAGTGAAGATGGACACATGCACAAACACGCAGACACACTGAGATAGAGAGAGCCAGGCAGTCCTATACACACACACACACACACACATATATATATATATGCATTTATATAAGAACAACAACAAAAACCAGCAACGGAAAACTAGAAGAGATAAAATAAAACAACAAAAACAAAATCATCTCGTAAAGAAATAACCCCACAACGAAAATCCGGACCGAAGAGAGGGGAGAGTTGCAAACAACAACAACAACAAAAAAGGGATCTCCTCATTTTCCCCACTTTTTTTCTTCCGGGTCGTTTTGTGCATTTTTGTTTGTTTGTCACCGCAATGAATGTGGAGGCGTATTGCCTCACTCCATCAAAGTTCCCGCCCCGTCCATTCCCACACACACACACACGAGACAACACAGAAGAAAAGGCGCCAAAAAACAACAACACCAAAGCAGCCTATATCACGCATTTTTTTTTTTGTATCTGTAATCAGTACTTTGTGAGATTTAACCTGGCACCATTCCCCACTTTACACTTCTTTCATTTTTTCTTTCCGTTGGGCCCTGTTCCTCGTCGTCTCCTTGATAAAAATACATTTCTCTCTGTGTGCGTGTACGTGTGTGTGTCTATGCGTGCGACTGCCCTTCTTACTTTCTAGCCTTTTTTTAATTCCATTGCCGTCTGTTCATCCTTTTCCTTTTCTCACCCCCTCCCGCCCCCTCATTTTTTTAAGGTGCTCAAGACCGCCCCACTTCTCTCTCTTGCCATCCCTTACAGCCAACCTTTTTTCATTCAATAATCTCTTTTTTGTTTGTTCCTCCCCCCTTAATTACCCCTACTACTTCCCGGTGCTGTGGGGGGTGAAGATAAACTTCATTGCCGGCGGCAGGCCAGCCTCTTTCACGAGTTTCTTCTCAATCCTAGCAACAGCCTCGCTGGCGGAGGCGTCACGCAGCCAAAGGGCGATGCGGTTATGATACTTGCGCCTTGACAAGACCAACCCCATGATGTGATCGCCGTCCGGCTCCGGGTCAAGGTACTCTCCCACCATAGCCATGAGCAAATTTTCCCACATGGTGTCCAACTCCGGTTTCTTCTCTGTCTCTTGTTCTTCCTTCTTGGCTTTGGCATTTTGATTGCTATTGCTGTTGTTCGTGGCGGCGCTTGCATTGTCTTTTTCCCCACCTGCGGCACCACCCGTGTTGGCATTTTCCCATTTCCTTCCTCCGACATCGCCAACAGGCTTATCATCCAGGCTTATCCACAGTTTTCCGCCGGCTTTGTTGCTCGGATCCTCCCACATCGGTTTCACACCCTCGCGGAAAAAGTGATATTGAGCCGAAACACGAAGTACATGGGGTGGCTTGCAATAATGCAGCATCGTAAAGAACTCCTCCACTGTACGGACCGTGATCACCTCCACAAGAGACAACTCCCACCGCTCACTGTCGTATGTGGAAAGAGAGTCGTACCACAACGTCCACGAGGAGTTCAGCGGGTGCTTCTTTGATCCCGTGTCCAAGCTGCGAGGAACAGCCAATTTCGTCTCCGCAACATCTTCGCCAGAACCGCTCTTGGAAGCAGCAGGATTTGCACCCGCCTCCTTCGACTTCACGTCCGACATCAAATGACTCCTGCAGAATACAGAATAGGCAGAAAACTTAATCAAAACAACTCGCAAAGTAAAAAAAGAAGGAAACAAAATAGAATCCAAAAGGATCTCTTCGCCTCACGTTCTCAGCCAAATTATATGCACATGGGTAAGGGAAAAAAAAAAGTAAAACGCATCCAACTCCCCACGCAAAATAAAAATAAAAATAAAATAATAACACTTTTCCCCTAAAAACAAAACAAAACAAAACAAAACAAAAAAAACACACAGAAAAACACACATCACCATTCTTTGTTCCAATCTTCCATTACGTCCAGAGATGCTGAGCAATAGTAACCATATTTAAGGACCTTCGTCCAAAGAAATTCCTCAAACGCCAACACCAAATGTGAACATCAATCCAAGCAGAACCTCAAGTGAATACCTGCGTCCCACCCACCCCAACCCATCCTGCGGTCATCACCACAGGATAAATTTCCTTGAGCCGCAAATAACAATTTACCCTCAGTTATTTTCCTTCTGCCATATTTGTTTTGCCCCGTCAGTATTTTCGTTTTTTTCTGAAACTTTTGTTAACAAATGAAAAAGTAGGTTATGCACCGGAGCTGTCATGATAATCGCCAGGCTTGATTTATGGCTTAACACGACAAATATATACTTTTTATTTCAGTAAAGCTCCCACAAAGCCGCATCACACCCATGACGCCAAAAATTCACTTAAGTCAAAACCATTATTCATATCACCTTAAGGCCGTCAGAAGCATTCACTGTTATGCGTGGCATGATCCTACTTTTCATTCTGCATCTTCTATCGCATGTCTCACACCCACCTTCACCCAAGCCCGGATGTAATGAGGAAGGTCTAGGTGTCCGGTATGTCTCCTTTGTCATTCTTTTCTCTTTTTGTGTGTGTCGCACGCAAGTCGTGTTGTGTTGCACGGCGTGGCCGGCGCCTCACTGACGGTGTGTGCATGGAGGCAGCACGGGAAAGAAGTGCCGGGCATCGCAGCGTTAGATGGTCCCTGCCGCCACGCGGGATCATATAAACTCGGCGCCGCCCCTGAGTTGGTGTGCGAGCGGCCCGCCCAGCGCCGACAACACACACCGCAACAGCCATCAACGACCAGACGTCCCCTCGTCGGGGCACACACGCGTCAAAACAATGGGGACGAGCCGGTGCCGTGCCGCGCCACACGCCATCCTAAGAGAGAAGAGAAAAAAGGAGGGAAGAGGGGTGTGCCCAGCCACTCAAAGCCACAAGAGACGGGGCAGAGAGACATGCCACCACCGGCACGGGCAAAAAAGCACAAATTTCATTTCCCAGAAATGAAAATAAAAAAACGGGTAACACGCCATGGGACACACACGCACACAGACGTCTGTTCTCGTGCAGCCACACCGTCAGTAGTGACAGCGAGGAGAAGAGTTCCATGCAGGCGCAATACCAAAAAAAGAAAAAATCTCTAACCCAAGCAAACAATAAGGAAGCACACTTGTCGGCAGCCACCGCCCTTGCCGTACCCCAATGAACTCCCGGCTAAAGGCCCAGGTAAATCAAACGTAAGAAAAACAAGGGAGCGGAATAGAGAGGCCATAAATGCACCTCGTTAATTTTTGCCGTATATATATTATATATTATATTATATTACATTATATTATATTATACTATAGTACATACTTACGCACACGCCGCATGACAACACAATCGCATGCGGGCACAACGTGGCAGTTCGAACGTTCACAAAACCAAAAACATCTTCAAAAAAAAACACCAAAAAATAAAAATGCACCTCCGCCGCCCCCCGGCTCTCCACACGCGCAATCAGCACCAACAATATGCACATATAAATATTCTTCACGCACATACAGATATAAATAGCTCTCTCTCAAATCCATCAAAAAAATAAAAATAAAAATAAAAATAAACAAGACAGGGGTCATGCTTAAAATACCCAACAGTAATAAAAACACACAAACCAAATCCTCCACAACGATCGAAAAAGACATGACGCTTTTCCTGCCTCCACCACAAAAACTACGGCAAAGTTACAACATCCCAGCAGAGAGCCGTCATCACATTCCCAATGCCGCTCAGTGCCCACCGCTCACCCGCACAGAGCGCACCCCCACACACTCCCTCAACCCAATAAAAAAAAAAAAAATCACCCCTCAGCATACATGGTGCACTCATTTGCGTGCGTAATTTATAACCAAACAAAAATAAATAAAAACCAACAGTCGGGAATAAATACATAAAGAGGGAGTGGTACACGATGAAACCGCCTAAAAAAAAAAGTTATTACGAAATAAGTAAGAACAAAAACAATTGAAAAAAGTCCACACTGTCGTTGCTTACGCAAACACGCACAACATCAAGT